CATCCTTTTCATATCTGCTTCTATTTCCCGACGTAATGTGTTCCTTGGCCTTCCAAATTTCAGCTCCGTACAGTAGAACTGCCTTGACGTTCGTATTAAGGATTCTGAATTTGATAGTGGTTGGCAGTTGTTTTGAGTGCCATATGTTTTTCGATTGTATGAATGCGGCCCTTGCTTTGCCAATCCTCGCCTTTACGTCTGCGTCCTATCGTTCTTGTTCATCGATTATGCTTCCCATGTACGTGAAAGATTCCAAACCTTCCAGAGTTTCGCCATCAAGTGTGATTGGATTGATGATCTCCGTGTTGTATTTGACGATCCTGCTTTTTCATTTGTGTATGCTGAGGCACACTGATGCAGTCGAGGCTGCTGCTACACTAGTTTTCGTCATCTGCATTTGTTCGTGTGTATGGGATAGGAGGGCCAGGTCATCTGCGAAGTTCAAAGTGTCTCAATGATTCTGAGCTGTCACTTGTGTCTAAAATACTCTTCTATCCATACTATCAAACCCCTTCTCATAGTCAAGGAAGTTGATGTATAGTGACGAGTTACATTCTATTGATTGCTCAACGATGCTCCGTAGTGCCGCAATTTAGTCTGCACACAACCGATGCTTACGGAATCCGACCTGTTGATTTTGAAATTGAGAGCTTACTGCGTCTTTAATCCATTTCAGCGACAGTCTGTTGAAAACTTTTCCAGAAACTGACAGCAGTGTGATGTCTCTGTAGTTCTCATCCTTGCTCAGATGTCCTTTCTTTGGTGTCTTGATGGGGTGTCCTTCATTCCAGTCCATTGACACTTGTTCCTCTTCCCAAATCTTCTTGAATAAAACGTGAAGCATGTTTACTATTATTTCAGTATCTGACTTCAATACTTCGGCTGATATATATTTTCAGGTCCTGCTGCTTTCCCGCTCTTGATCAGCCTGATGACCGTCCTGATCTCTTTGATCGTCGCTGAAGTGACAGCTACAAGAATGTCTGTGTGTGCGGCTTCAATGTCCAGTGGATTCAGTAGGGTTGGTTCATTCAGAATTTCCCCAAAGTACTCTGTCCCTCTGTTCTTGAATTTCAGTGATTGGCCTGCCTTTTTGGTCATTGACCGGTCTCTCTGGTTTACTATGTTTCCCTGCTAGTTTCCTCGTTGTATCATATGGTTGTTTAATATTTCTCTCTCTTGCAGCTTTTTCCACCATCGTTGCTAGTTCTTCCACGTGTCGGCTTTAATGTTCTTCTTCATTTGTTTGAATAGCTCTTGCTCATCATCTACTCTCTAGAGTTTAAGTGGCTCGGAATCTGACTCCAGGTATGTCGTATGTATGATTGTTATCAAAATATACACACAGGTTGCCCTCGCATATAATCATCGGCCTAAGTAGATTTAGTGCATGATGGAATTAAATAAGTCAAACAAGAGAATGGAATTGGAGCACGTATATCTCATACAATGGTTGATTGGGAAGCGAAGAAAGCAAAATGACGTGAGCCAGCCCCAATTAACCAAGCGTTAATCGATATTTATAGTAGAACAAAAAGAAATTTCAGAATTGCGATGAGTAAGATAAGAAGTGCATACAAGTATGCTTACATAAAAACAGTCAGGGTTGACAAGTGAATAAGTGACATGACCAAAATTTGATTTCAGGAGATTGAGTAGGTTGATCTATCCAGAGAACGGAATAACCTATGTGGGTTCTATATATGTACCAAACTATATGGTCTATTTTCCTCGATTTTCAAATTTTACCTCAACAAGACATGGGAAAAATGAAATGTTACTGATCTGCTAAGAAATTATTTCTCGGACTAAATGAATCTATATCATAGAAGAGTAGACAGTGTTTGTCAGATGGTTTGCCGAGTGTCGTCGATGTCAAGTATGACTGACGATGATTCGTCAGTCGACAAAGTAGCGGAGCAGTAGCAAACGGGCATTCTATATACATCGTGCTATTTTCTTTAAATCTAACCAGAAAGTTTGCATGGAAAGATTTCGTTTATTCCAGACCAAAATAATTTCAAACTCAGATGTCTTTACATATCCCCAATTCTCACTTTACAAACAATAAATTATTTTGTGTTTAGAGGTTTCTCTCCAAAGCTTGAGGTAACCTGACTTTTGAATCATTCAAATACGTCTCCAGTGTTTATCCAAGACCTCATCTGCGAATACATTCTCATGAGGATTGTGAATCACAAAATATTAAATCTATAAACAAGTCACTTTCAAGATTCTTTCATACATGATGCTGAAATTCGTACAATGACTTCTGATGTGATTTCATCCTTATCAGTCTGCCGATACAAATTTAAATATCCGACTCTAAGCGATCTGAACTAATCAACAATTTGTTGAATTTCATGCATTCCACCATGTCTGTGTGATCCGAATCATTAAACAATTTATTGAATTGAATTCATTGTAATGTGATAGTATCTCTCAGCACAGCTTCATCTGTACCAAACCATGGAAAAAATCACGTTAGATATAAGACACTGATGTTATTTAATATCCACGAATCGAAGGGTTGGTTACTGGAGAAAAGAGCAGTCTTTGACAACTAACAAAGAGACGAATATTACACCTTGTTGACATGGGTGTGTATATCACTAACGTGAATGACCGGTGTCGAATGACTGAGAGTGTACTCGAGTCAGACGGGAATTGTGTGACCAACGAGTTAACGTCAGGGTCACACCTCTCAGTTAATACCCAACGTGGATTACTCTTCCATCGTATTCAGTCATCATGGCTGATTTGGTGATCATACAACACAAACGACGTTATTACGGTGATATATTTGTAAGAGTAAGTGCAAGAAACAGAGTGCAACCACTTCTGCATGATCCAGTCCATGGCACTCCATTCATCGATGCACGTCGGTTGACCTTAATCTCGACGAGGATCAGTGAACTGTTGAACATTCAGTGACCTGACTACCGAATGATTTGACTGGTGACATTTCACTGACCCTACATGAGTTGTCTGAACGAACCCGTGTCAGTTGAACTGAACCAACGCTACGACAAGATGTACAAACCTCCACTATGAGTGGCCATACATTCGACATATATGACTGAGGAAACTCCTTTAGTGTTAGACAGATCAGAAGTAAGCAGTAACCGAGCATCTAAGTAAGATACGATCAATAGTGTCAGGGGTCATAAGTGACCATCAACCAGCCAGCGTTTGATAGTATGGAAGAAGCTTACGTGTCTCACATTTACCAGTGGCGATGATTATCACGTAGCCTAGATGTGCGCACAACTACAGAGACATGTGTGTCCCGAATTCTCAGCCTGTTGGACCTCACAACAGTTAATCCATCCCATTTGGTGGCCGTAAATTTTGGAAATTCAGGGGATAAAATCGATCTCCTTCAGGCTTAACATCAGGTGAAAAATGCCTCCCACAATCATGTCCAATGCTTCAACAGATGACCTAGATCGGCAGAACAATAGCAGAGTAACCAAAGTGTGTTTCGGTTCCACTTGACCCCAATCATAATCCTATAACAGAGGAAAACGCCAACAGAGTCACAACAACACGGGGAAAATGCTCTTGTCACTCAATTCTCACAGAAATAGATAAAACCCTCCACCCCCACCAACCGTCCAAAACATTGCAATTAGCTACTGACATAGATGAATCACGTGTAAGTAACAAATACCTAGTTACCTACACAGCGGTGTAGAGTGAGTTGGGAAGGAATTATGAGAGATAAGAAACATGTGGTTTCATCCTTAACTGATGGTAATCCTTCTGTAACGGTGAATAGATCCTCAAAATCAATAGCTCTGTAAGTCTTAGACGCTGGGTACTGACCATATTAGTCTTAATGGACTCATCTAGTTCAAGGCGCTTGGTCATGCATTCGCACCAGATCACGAGTGCGAACGCCGTGCTCAACATCCCCTGTAATCACTAGCCAGATTAGATTAGACGATCCTCGATATATTGATAGCCTACCAAATATATCTTCGAACCTCCTCACTCCTGTCTTTTGATTTCACTTGGTGGGTACGATTCGTATTGGAAGGTGTTACCGATCGAAGCGTTGTCGAACTCCAAATACCTGTGGCATTCTTCAGTTACAATTGAAATCTAGCTCCTCCTCCTGACGCCACAGACAAGGAGGTGAATGTCAAAGTAGCATACTATCCAGATGTGATACGGAATCTAAAATATATCAATGACCACCCAAAGGTTATAATCCCATCAAATACCATGTCGGCCGAGTTGCCGGAGTCTACCTGATGTTCTTCCAGTGTCAAGAGTACCAAGAACTTCATTGGAAGGACATACCGTTGTGAATGTAACAGAAGTTTTAATAACAATGATTGACTCATGAACTCAACTATCAATTTACTGTAATATCCACAAAATCCCCCTCTGATACTAGTCATCATTTGCTCACTAGTGACTTACTTCAAGAGGTATTTCCTGGAGTTCTAGTGAGAAGTACTGACCAGTGGAGTGCAACCGAATTTGTTGTGATACCAAGTCACTGAAGATAATGGTGTACGGTGGCTCAGTTTCGTGGATTGATTAAAGTTAGACATTAACACCGTTAGATGCTGTCCGGCTCAGTGGTCTAGGAGTTAGGCGCTCGCTCACTAGGACGATAGGTCCTGGGTTCGAGTCTTGAGGGGCGGTATCGTGGATGCGCACTGCTGAGGAGTCCCACAGTAGGACAAAACGTCGAATATGATTTAATTGGTTCTCTAGGGTGTGGTCGCGTGAGATCCATGTAGATTTGTGTGCGAGTATTGTGCCGCTAATAACCAATTTGCTGAATGCACATAGGTTCGCAAATCTCTCACCATTTTTGTTTCTCTCTCTGTGTCCTTGTCATCCCATGATATCTTCATATCTGGTGTTGTCTATTCAGACTTTGGCGTTTAGATCTCCCATTGGGATGGTGAGGTTGGTGATGATATAAAACCATGTAACTATATAATTGACTTCATAAGAAAGAGAAAGCAAAAACAACAAAGCTATTAGTTAAAATGTTTACTCATCTTGTAAAGGTTTGAAACTGTACACACCCAAGAAGGAAACAGTGATGATAATAATAAGAACATGTTATTCTGAAGTACTTCTTTGAAATTTAAAGTTTTATGAAAAATGAAGAAAAATTATAAAAATAATTAAGGCATAAGTAACAGGTAAGGGGTGGACACAATCACGTACTCACTGGTGGATATGTGTTAGCAAAACAACAAAAAAAAACTGTCTAAGAAAATAAAATCACACACACACACACACGAGATACAGTATGTTTATAAAAATTGTTTAGAACGAGATAGAAATTACATACAAATATAGTAGTGATTGTTGATCTCGTGCATATTAGTTTAATAATTGTAACAGTTATGTGAAGCAAAAAAACTCCTGAACAACACACGGATAATAATAGTGGCAAAGTTTTTACATGAAATATGTCGAAGAAATTATTGCTGTGATGAAGATCAGGGCTGATGGATGAACTAATCAACGGGTGTGGAAAAGTAAAATGCTAATAGGAAAACGATACTGAAGACATAAATAAATACACACAAAGTCTCACAAAAACACACATATCTAGTAGTGTAAATGAATTGCTTACGCAAAAAGTACAACAATAACTATACATAAAAATAAGTTTTTTTAATGACGAAAACGTGAATGACGATGTTTGTAATGATGATTATAACTATGAACAATTACAGATGGCTTCTTGCGAGAGCTAACAGGACGTGGAGACCTCGACAAACGTGGTGACGGCCTACGCGATGACCGACGTGATGATAATGAGGGGGAGGAAGGTGGACGACGTAATGGTCTGATAGATGGTGTAGGCAAAAGAGCGCAAGGATTCGAACGTTGTATGTTGATAGTGACTGGCAGTGGATTAGTAGACGGAAGAGGAGAACGAGTAACACATGAGTTTCGTCTACTTACTGGGTCAGGTAACAAGTGGCGAGCCGAATGGACTGGTTGGTAATTAGTAGGTTTAATTGTACATATTCTTTTACTAGAAGACAAGGAAGTCGTTTTTTCCCGAAACCTGGGTACACTTCTATTACTACTATGACTACTCTTGTAATCATTATTCATGGGTGGAGATGACTTATTGTATACATTTTGTGGTGTAGAGCATCCAGGATGAATAGGAGGTTGTGGAATTAATTTACGATAATCAACATCTTCAGTAGATGATGAGAACCATTGTTGAGTAGAAGGATATAATGACTGGTTGACATTGTTGATAGTGGCATTTGCGATTAAAGGACGAAGATCAATATCACCAACAGAATCTATTGAAGATGTTTCAACAGTCTGATTCTCCATTTTGATATTTTCAGTAGATAATGCTAAGACAAGAAATAATAAAATATAGGGATTTTATGGAACTTTACAAAATAAATATACATGTAACTGTTCTCAATAATTATTAGTTTAATGTAGGAGAGAGTGAAAATGTTTAGTATAATTATCCTCGAATTCCCGTAACTATAATTTTTAATACTGAAGTCAAAGATTGGAAGTTATTGAAAAGTTCGTTGAAATACGACTGATTGACAAAACGTTCAACAATAGCATTAAAGGATGAATGACTAAAGTGATTTACTTCAGCTTTAAATATTCCAACAATAACATATTTGACTAAAACAGCATTTAATTGATTCAAGTGATTTCTGGTATCATATAGTGGGATCATAAAGCGAGTAATACTTAAGTTGGGAGAGTGGAGGTTGTAAATCAGCTAATGAGATTGTAGACATTTGCTTACTCAGGTGACTGAGACAAGGGTTACGCGTATCTAGTCACCACCTACACTAAAGTGCTACCCTGTATGTTGTAAGAGTAGATCAGAAGAGAAATAGACAAGAATGTCAAGACGATTTGTAACAACTCCTGGATTGTGTTTATGCAAACTAATCCCTGTAAAGTTGAGTGGATTTTTATACAAAAGGGATATAAATCGAACAAAAAGTATGTGACAAGCAATAAAATTATTCAACTTTTAAATGGAAACAAAGTGAGACCTTTCCAAAATTTGGATTCTATCACCGCTTAGTAGAAAAACACTTGTAAAGAAACATGTTAATACCTTCTTCATTAAACTGAACAGGAGTTGGTACGTAAGCGTCTTTCGACAATGAATTAAACAAAGGTGAACATAATTTATCATCTGACGGCAAATGAACTGCGATTTCTTCTGTATTGCTCGGTGTCTCTTGATCGGGATTCAATATTGGCGGTGAGGATGATGATGATAATAACGATGGTAAAGGATGTGAAATATTTTCGACATTTGATGTCACATTGATTGGTCTAGTCAATATAATTAATAATTGATTTTCTACAACGGCATCACATCCGGTTAACTGAAATTTCGATAACAAATCCACCGGTAGTAGTATATCTTTTAAATGAGTATTTCCTATCAATGGATAGAGTAAACAATCATTTATACCCTGAAAACGCGGTTCTAAACTACCACATGCATTGATCTCTTTTAAATGATTAAATATATCTTTATAGATATGAGACATTTGTTTAGTTCTCGGTGTAACACGAAGTGCAAACAATTCCTAAATGAACAAACCAAAAAATAGAAGTGTTGCAATAAAACAAGCAACAATAATAAAGCAATAAGATGAATAAATGAATGGAGAAAAAACGAGAGGGGGGTTATGAACCCACGACTGTCAGATCTCGAGATGAGTAATTAATTATTTGAACATAAAAATTGGTACAAAGGGGCATATATATATATATATATATATATATATATATATATATATATATATATATATATGCACCACACAATATAATGAAATTAATTGAATTATCACAATCTTGAGACATCGAATACGGTGGGTTGACATGTTTGACTAATAAATTCGTGATATAGTATAATTATGTTTCGATCCGATTAGTGAATAAGTTCCTCTTATCTGACATGGTCAGCTTCTCAATGAAACTTCGGTAATTACGTTTAGAAATAAGTCACTATAAATGACTAGCCTCATACCAGGATGAAACAATTGCTTTGTGCTTCATAGTTTAAAATAGTTGTCTACCTAAGGTGAGTCCATGATGAATATCAAGAAAAAAAAACATATTCACGCACCTATTACAGTAAGGAAGATAATACAAGATTGAATCTTTTCTAATAAAATCCATCAAGATAAATGTTCTTGTTTTCTTGCTAAAGTCAAAGGGCACTTTTAACTCACTAGATAGCTTTTTTTTCAGTAAGTTTTCCTCTGTTCTTGTAAGAATAATCTGAATGTACAGTTTCATGTAAATTAAGACTAACTGATTGGTAGATCATACATCCCGGATTAATGCTAATGAACGAATCACTCGAAACATAAGAGCACTAGATAACCGTATTATTCTACTTTTGGGCTCTTTGAAAGTACACATTAATGACCCCAATCAAGAATCCAGTTCAGAACTTTCAGTTTTCGTGTTGACCATTTATATTTTAAACTAAAAGTCGAATGAATTTGCGATTCACTCAAGAGAAAATTTTTTTAATGGTCGCACAATAAGGAAAATCAGTAAAAAAAAGAGATTGCCGAATAAGCATATCATTTAACTTACTCTAGGATGTGTTGAATCTAACAATGTCTGTCCTAAATAAACTGGTAAACTGATTAAATTCACTCCACGACTAACAACGAGTGATGTTTGTTTACCAATTAATAAAGATTCCCATTGGATCATTTCATTTTTATAATTATTACCAGGATAATTTAATATTTTCGGTTGAATATATCCAAAAGGATAAACATTAATCTCTAAACTGAACATATGTTCACGACCAGAATATTGTGTTGATAATGATAACATTCCAGACCATAATAGACAAGGTTTTGAATTGAATTTTTCCCGATTCGACAATAAATAACTATTCTCGTAGTTTGTTTGTGAATTGAATGATGATTTATTATGCAAACTAATTTGTTGTGCTGGTGGTAAAGGCAAATCTAACAGACCTGTTGAAACACCACTGGATGGTGGATGATAATTAGGAGAATGAGAAAAGCTATTGAGTGGTTTTGTTGAAATAGAACTATCTTGTGTAGATGGTTCAAATAGAGACTGATCATTTAATCGTTTTAAATTCGATCTAGGAGGAAAACGAAAATCGTAAAATGAATAATTTGAATTTAATTCGACATTTTCTTAAAGTAAATGTGTAATTAATTCAACGTGAAATGCGTTTTTCCTAATCAAATTCATTTAAATATATGTCTATTTTTTCTCCCACACAGATATCAACAGTATATTTTCACAATAATTAATATCTATTCAGCTGTGCGTTCCCATAGAGATAAGCTTTACTCACTGGATTTAAAAAATACTATACCCATCTCTGCGGTTACTACCGACCTCAAGCCTTGGTGAAGGAGAAGAGTTGAGCATGAGATTAACAAACTCATCCCGTAAAAAATAACCTCGTTAAGAAAACGCTAACCTTGGGTAAAATTCAATTTTTGATAAACAATTCAATGTCCAATAACTGATAGTGAGCAGTTAGAAGTAGTCGAAAAGTTCGTGTATTTTGGTAGTTGTGTAAGTGCTGGCGGTGAGGTGACTGATGGGATCAATATGCTAGTAATGAAAGTCACAGGGGCTGATGTCAATTTGAGGCATCTTTGTGATGTTAATCTGACTGTAAACAGTCGATGGGTTTCTCTCTATACTTGTGAAACCTAGTCTCTCTGAATTGGGGATGTTAAGAGACTTCCTGTGTTTGATTGTTTTTTTCTGAAGGATTGCTGACATTATTAAGTGTCAATATCATGTTAGTAACATATAGGTTCGGCAACGTGTTCAGGGATAGAAACGACAATCCGATTGCTGTCACCATCTTGAAACACCAACCTCAGTATCATGGACATTTATTGTGAATATCGTCCCAGAGAATCCAATATCGTGAATGATTTGCCAACAATGAGGTTGGTCGGAAAAAGCGGAAGGGTGGTCAGTGTATGACATGATTTCATAGTAAGAAAGAATGCTGTGCTTCACAATTACCTGGATGGGATCCTAAAGACGGTGGAACAAAGTGGCTCGAGACTTTATCAGACACATTTCAGAATAGAAGCCAGCGGTGGTCCTGCTGTAATTTCCTTCTACTTTTTTCATAAAGGTGAGAGGAGCGTCTTTAACCGACAGGATTCTTTTTCGTTGTATTTTTATTAACTAAACTGCTTCTCCTCTTATTATCCTTAACATTTTCACTTTTATACACTAATTTCTATTCAGTTATGTTCTGTTCACATTATACCCACCTTTCAATATCACTTCACAAACACATTTTTTATTGTGTGGCGCAGAGATATTTTACTGCCAATGTGTACCAATACTCATATGTTTGAATAAATAAAAATAAGTTAACAGATGAATGAAGAAAAACTTTTAAAATCCTATAAGCATCAACATTCATCAAAAGTTTCCCATGTAAGATTAATTATACACATAGAACACAAGATGATGAAGGTATTGTTCTGAGCAAGAATGTAATAAAACTATCAAAATTTAGAATTTACGTAATACGTTGACTCATGTTATTCTATTTACTAAAGCCAACATCCAAATATGATTGGATTAGCACAGTATAGATTTGATTGTTAAACGCTATATATTTCTTTGATGATTTTAATTACTACCTTGAAGAAGTTCAGACAAGTTGGTTGGACGAAATGTTAAAATTATTTTAAATTTCAATCACTAAGATTATTCCAAATATAATGAATGACTTCTCTATACTCGGCGACAAATTTTTGTCAAACTATTTGTCTCAATATTGATGAAGTGAAAACAATCAAGATAACCACGGGAGTGAGAGGACAATGATGCTTGTAAGAGACAATTCAGAGATGTGCGAATGAAGTATTTGATGTATGATTTACACATTTTGCTAAACCACTGTGCGATTGTGCATTAAACAATAAATTGGTGTTCCCCACTTGACTTCGTTTACCACATATGCACTGCTGAAAATATTTACGGCTAAGATGAAGTAACCATTATTAGTTGTGCTATTTCATTTAAAAATTGTTCTCCAGTTTAAGTTAATTTATAATACAAGGTAAACATGAATCTATTGTTATATGGGGTGATGAAGCACAAATAAATGATTAATACAAGATGTGATCCAACATAGTTCTAGATTAAAAAGTGAATGTGCACAGCGATATTTTTTAACAATGAACCATGAGCATATAAGTTAGGAGAGAGAAGATTAGATTTTATCTTTTCAGGAAAACCAATTAAATTCCCAGGAGAGGGGGTACTAAGAAAGGAAGCCAACTTGAAAAAGTTTACTTATTATTTAAAGAAATGAATGAATATCAATGAGACAATAGGATATTGTATTGGGATTTGCTTTTAACCACACAATCGTAGAAGCTGAACATAAAACCACTGAACACCGGAAGAAGTTCAGAAAAGGGGAACTCGAAAACATTTGATCAGTACGACATGACTCGGTCATATAGGCGTTGTAACTCAACATAACCTCTTAGTTTTTCTATAAAATGAATTACTTCATTACCAGTCTAAATGTGTTCTTCAAAGGTTATTACAAACATTACTGACTGCCACGAAGGCTCGAGTCAGTACATACAATGATATGACTTTGACGAAAGATCTAGTAGATTAGGTAGTCATATCATGGTGAGACCACAATATTGGATTACATCGATTATTCTGGTAGCATAGATAAGTGCACCAACATTGATCCACACCTAAATCCTACAATACAACAACACTTATAATTAACACTTACTTTTTAGTGTCACTATGTTAAGTGTCTCTTAAACCTAAAATCCTATAATATTCTGAGAATTTTGGAAGCAAGAGAGCACATCTACTTACTTGATTTTAGGAGTATATTGATCGAACGAACTATGTAGTGGATTTGTTTCTTTTCGTCTTGGATCCATGCATTTTATGACATTCGTCGTATCTTCTAAATAATTTGTTCTTTTTAGTGTGGAATAATCATTAGGAGATAATTTCACTGCTTCTTGAATAGGTAAACTATCTGATGTAGCTACTGATACTTTTGTCTGAAGCGATTCAACAGGGCTTGGGAGAAATGGTGAGTCCTAACATATTATTTTGTGAAACAGAATAGGTGAAGAAAAACAGAAGTGAATATGAATTTTTATTTATCTATCTAAAATTAACCATGAAAAATAAAATACGTCAAAAGTACAGGGGGTACGAGATTGAGCGATCCTAATGATGATCCCATAAGTTTGAAGTTACTTTTAAACTGATCGGTAGGGAAACTGTATAAGCCCATGATGTTAACAATGAAATCGAAGAAATCTTCATAAGCTCCTACAGTAATAAATCAATCGATCGTAATTCAGCAGTTCTAGTGGGAAGGCGTAACTAGTGGAGCTTAATCATGTCGGGTACGAGACAGTTACGCACGACGTATATTTAAAGATGATTGCGCAATATCACACATTTGTTGAAGTTGGACATGTTAACCATTGGGTGTCCGGGCGCAAGACTGAAGGCCTGTGGCTCCATCCCTTGTGGTGCAGTCGTAGATAAGGACGGTTATGGAGTTCCATCTAGGACGAAATAGCTGTTAAGTCCTTACTAGTTCTTAATAACTGCTTATCTGAGCTCATTCAGTAATATTAATTATGAAATTAAAAAATCTCCATAAACCCCTTTAGTAAGAAATCGAAAGTATTTCGTAACAGAAATAATGTAACCTGTTAAAACTTAGTGGTCTAAAAAAAGGTACTGGTTCTCCGGGACTATCACTTTTTCTTGGTAACAATGGAGTAGAAATATCGCTGTATAACATCACTAATCTGAGTGTGCATTTATTTACACCAACATTTTTTTCTAAATCTTTCATATGGCTAAAAGTAATGCTTTTTACAAAGTTCAATATCACCCACAAAATTTTCACTAATAGATCCATTGAGTTACGGAGATGAAATTAAGAGAATCATCGGTGTCATTATACTGATAAGAATTTATGAGTAAAAACTGTCAAATGTTTTAGCACCAGAACTAATGACTGGGAGTCAGATAATTTGGTGCATCGATTATTTTGCTTTGGAATTCTCATCTGTCCATGAGAGTTGGTGCTTCCAAATGCCCTGGTATGGACGAGGGTGGGGAGTCCCCTCTCTCTCTCTCTCTCGAAACGCTCTTACATGGCAACGCGTATACAGCCAATGCTAGGGAATTCCTACCTCGCTTCGCGCGGAGGGGGTGTCGTTTACGAATTTGAAAGGAAGAAAGAGAATGTCCGGCGCTTAAACCGGGTTGGCAGACACGGATAGTCCACCTAGGGGAGTTTCACGACCCAGCAAATTTGAGAACCAAACCCAGAACCCTTGGTCTAATACTTTAAGGTTTACAGCGGTGATCTAGTTAGAATCATTTCGTATTTTCGACTACGAAAACTCTACAATCTCCACAAATCGTCCTATACTAATTAATTATGTATTCATTCCCTCCGGTATAAATAGACAGTTATTTGTAAAGTCAATATTCAATGCAAACCAAACAAATAATAAAAGTACAGACTACCTTTTCTCCAGAAGATGTACTACTAACACGGGGTTCTGTTTTCACAGACAATGTGGATAGGCCATCACAAACATTAGTGGTACTATTAGAAGGGGATGATATTGATTTTTTTGGCAACTGTTGTTGTAGTTGTTGAGATGATTGTTTCGTAAATGCTTTCGTTTGACCTGTACAACGTTTACAATGCATATCATATAAATGTTTGCCATGTTCACTTGTAGTATCCAATATTGGTAATTCATTTGTTACAGTTGCTGTAGTGGTAGTGTTAGTAATTTCAGTCGATTGACATGTTGTTACTGTTGTGGCTGTATGAAGATCAGAAGATAAAGAGTTATCTGAAGAGGAAATCCCCGTACAGCTAGTCGGAATAGATCCATATACGACATCAGAATGATTTGTATTTATCTAAATATGAGAAAAGTAAGTAACAGTACTTGAAGTGATTGATTGATTGATTGATAAATCAAATTGTACACCTCCAGTTTAAAAAACGAAAACGAAAATCAAAATGTTCTGATAAGAAGATAAGTAAAATTTGAAAATAAATGGAGACACACTGAAGAAGACAACGATGACAAATTACACTGTCCACAATCTAGCAGAATAGGAAAATAAGTTGTTTACAAATAGTTAAAAGTCACTAGAGAATTCTTGATATGAAATGGAATAAATTGAATGAATTCATTAGTCTTTTCTGAATACAAATAGCTATCTTCATAAATCCATAAAAAATCCAGTAGATCGATACATCAGTGATATAAACTTATTCTCAGAAATCAAGTATGGTGATTAAGGCAGGACAACATGAAAGAGTTTAGTAGGGAGTTGTTTTGAAAGTAGATCAGTATGTTATGGGCAAAGGTGTAAAAAAGGTCCAAAGGGCTAGAAATAATTGGTTACGTAATCAATAGATGTTGATAATAATAAAATGAGTAAATTTCAATTGTTGAGAAAATTGAAGCTGGACCACCATGGAAAACCTGGAAGCACTGGACGGCCGTTTCGTCCTGTTGTGGGACTCTTCGCAGGTGCGCATCCACGGTCCCGCCCCGCGGGATTCGAACCCAGGACCTATCAGTCTCGCGCACGAGCACTCAACCACTAGACCACTGAGCCGGCCGGTATCCAACAGTGTTAATGTCTAACTTCAACTAGTCCTTGAAATTGAGCGACACACGCACCATTGTCATCGGTGAGTTGCTATCTCATAACTGACCCGGTTGAACTCCACTAATCACTGCTTCTCACTAGAACTCCAGGATATCCATCTTTAAGCCAGTCACTAGTGAGCATATGTTGATTATTATCAGAAAGGGGTTTTGTGGAGATTTTAGTGCTTCCAGGTTTTCCATGGTGGTCTAGCTTCAATTGACTCATGATCTCAACAATTGAAATTACTAAAATCTCTACAAAACCCCCTTCTGTTAAAATGAGTAAAGCTCAGTTAACTAAGACAAAATTACTAATGTAGAAGACGGTTGAAATAAAAAACGATGTAATTCATTGATAGAAGGAGTTCAGCAAGATTTTCTGATGCGATGAAGGAATATTTGTCACCAAGGGATGGAAAGATTAACAACCATTTCCTTTTGAACACATAAATCAGGATTCTGACGCATGATAACAATGGTTTCAGCAATCTTCAGATGATTGGAGTCCGACTGTGTTATTCATCACTGACAGACTGCAAGGTATCGACTTGATGACCTGTACCCAAGATATGTTTAGTAACTGCTCTGCTTAAAGTGGTTCTCTCTCTTGTTTGAATGCTCTTTGAAGCATTTTTAAAAAATCGAATATATCTCATCATTTCTGTTTGGTCAATGTAACTGCTTTAGCAAATACACGTTAATTTATAAACACAGTTGGCGGCCAAATGTGTTCATAAAATGTGCTTTTATATAAGGTGAATGTTTACAATAATTTATTCAGTCCATTAAATTTATTTATACCTTTGCCTATATTAATTAAGTATATAATAGCCCCCTGAATGCCCTGGTACGGCCTAGAGTGGGGAGAGTCCGCTCTCCCTCTCGAAATACTCTCACACGGCCACGCGTATACAGCCTCTGCCAGGGAAGTCCTACTCATTGCCTTCTCGTGGCGGGGGTGTTGTTTACGAAAATGAGAGGACGAAAAGCGAATGTCCGGCGCTTTAACCGGATTCCAAATCAATGGTGCACATGGGCTCCAGTATCCTGCGGGAACGAATGGCGTATGAACCAATCGTTGGTCACCGGCTACCATGGGACTGCATCTCCTTACGATGCTCCACTGCCTTGTGGGTTAGACCTTTAGGTCAAAGGCTCGGGGGGTGGCCCCCTAAGAAAACCACCTGCTTCGGTTTGGGCACCCGGGCAGTATCACAGCCCACACACAAACGATGAACTCTATGTCTTTGGCAACTACTTTCATCGCTCCGAAAAACAAAAACAATCAATCAATTCAAATAATTATCATTACTATTATTGTCATTATTGATACTATTATTATTACTATTATTGTCGTTATTATTATTATTATCATTATTATTATTATTTCCCACATTATTCACCCTCTTTCATACTTATACAGCGGCTCGGCTTTGGTGGAAATTCGACTGTATCTAAACGTTCTCGAGTCACTGTCCGGTTGAAAGTTGTATGTTACCATCGAATATGAGTACTGAAGCAGTTTTTCTGAAACCACGTGCGCCATTCAAACTGGCTGCCTTCAACGTTCGCACACTTATGCAGGTTGGTCAACAGATAGGGCTGGCTATGTCTTTGGAAAGTCTTAATATTGATGTTTGTTGTCTATCCGAGACCCGTATTCAAGACTCTAGCGAAGTACTACAAATTCGCTCTACATCTGTCACTTCAAAAAGCTTGTTTTACGTGCGCTTATCCGGGGACCCTGTGGCATCTTCGTCTGGTCTTGCTGGCGTTGGTGTCGCACTAAGCGCTAGAGCTGAGGCAGCACTAGTCGATTGGATCCCCATTAACAGTCGGTTATGTGCTGTTAGATTAGAAAGTTCCATCAAAGTGAGAAGAAATCGGCGTGAGAAACGATGTCTTTTCGTCATCTCCGCCTATGCCCCGACAGATTGCAGCCCGGATGCAATCAAGGATGAGTTTTACCACCAGTTATCTGTTCTTCTCCAGAAAGTGCGTTCGACAGATATTGTAGTACTAGCCGGAGACTTGAATGCTCAGGTCGGGCGTCTAGGCACAGAAGAGAGTCGTTTAGGTGGCCGATGGGGACTCGTTGGTCGCAGGTCAGATAACGGGGACCGTCTACTGCAACTTTGCACAGACCACAACCTGTTTCTGGCTAGCACTAACTTTCGGCACAGTCATCGCCGATGTGCCACCTGGCGTCCTCCCTCTGCATCTCAAGCCTGGACTCAGATTGATCACATCGCGATCAGCTACCGCTGGCGTGGTTGTGTAAAAGACTGCCGCTCCTTTTGGAGTACCTATCTGGACTCTGACCATGCCTTGGTCTGCGCCAATCTTGCCTTACTTTTCAGTGGACAACGAAGTGAACGCCATCAACGGATTGATGTTAGCAAGCTGGTTGCAACTTCTGTTGCAAGTAAGTATCGAACCGAGCTAGCCTCTAGGCTAGCTAACACTCCACCGAAAAGTATAGATGAGCATTGGTTGCAATTGCATGACGCCATGAAAATGGCGGGAACAGTCAGTTGTGGGTTTGCGAAACGTCCCGCTTTTAAGCACTGGGTTTCTTCTGGTTCCTTACAACTCATTGAAGCCTGTCGGTCTACTCCGGGTAACCGTGAGTTTGACCATAAACGAAGGATTTTACGTAAGGAAATCGGGCAAAGCTTGCGTAAGGACCGAGAAGCCTGGTGGTCGATGCGTGCTAATGAGCTGGAAGCAGCAGCTGCATCTGGTAACTACCGGAAGCTCTTCCAACTCATCCAAGCCACTGGCAGCAAGAAGTCTGGTGTGAGTGAAACAATCTGCGAGGATGATGGGATGCCAATCACTAACATCCATCGACGTCTTGGACGATGGGCAGAATTTTTCGAAGGGCAGTTCAACTGGCCTGCTGCTCCGGCAACATCGGTCAGACTGTCCTGCCCTCCATGGCCGGTGACGACTGATCCACCAAATGAGGCGGAAGTCCGCAAGGAACTCCAACTCTTGAAGCGTTACAAATCACCTGGCCCAGATGACTTACCTCCGGCTCTTTTTAAAGATGGTGGTGACTTTTTGACTAAGGAATTGACGACGTTGTTCACAAAGGTTTGGGAACTAGAGAGTGTGCCAACGTCATGGAATGAGTCGATAGTTGTCCCTATCTTTAAAAAGGGTTCACGTCGTTCCTGTAACAACTACCGGGGGATAAGTTTACTTCCGATTGCGTCCAAGCTATTGGCTTCCGTCATACTTCGTAGGTTGTTCAAAACCCGAGAAAGATTGACTCGCGAGGAGCAGGCTGGGTTTCGTTCTGGTCGAGGATGTATTGATCATATCTTCACCCTCCGCCAAATGTTAGAACACCGCCATACTTTTCAAAGGCCAACAATCGTAGTGTTTCTTGACATCAGGGCTGCCTTCGATTCGTTGGATAGGACTGTTCTCTGGGATTGTCTATTGAAGAAGGGTGTGCCTGAGAAGTTTATTAACATCCTAAAGGCCCTGTATAAAAACACCTCAGGCAGAGTGAGGGCATACAACCACCTCTCTCCATTGTTCCATTCGAGCAGTGGGGTTAGGCAGGGTTGCCCAATCTCACCATTCCTCTTCAACTTTGCCATCGATGACATTCTGGAAACAGCTCTGATGGATGTAAGTAATGGCGGCGTGGATCTGTTGCCTGGAGAAAGACTTCTCGACCTTGAGTATGCGGACGATACTGTCTTACTGTGCGATAATGCCCAAGGCATGCAATCCGCACTTAATCAGTTGGCAATCAGTGTCCGTAGGTATGGTATGTGCTTTGCACCTTCGAAGTGCAAAGTACTTCTACAAGACTGGCAGGATTCTAATCCTGTACTCACCCTGGACGGTGAGCAGATAGACGTAGTTGAGAAGTTCGTGTATCTGGGTAGCTGCATAAGTGCTGGTGGGGGTGTGAGTGATGAGATCAATGCACGAATAGTGAAAGCCAGAGCGGCTTATGCCAATCTGGGCCACCTTTGGCGCCTTCGTGATGTTAGTCTGGCTGTAAAAGGCCGGATCTACAACGCGTCGGTGAGAGCAGTTTTGCTCTATGCTTGTGAAACCTGGCCTCTCCGAGTTGAGGACGTTAGACGACTCTCTGTGTTCGATCATCGCTGTCTCCGAAGGATTGCTGACATCCAGTGGCAACACCATGTGAGTAATGCAGAGGTTCGGCATCGTGTGTTCGGGTACAGAGATGATAACTCAATTGGTGTCACCATCTTGAAACACCGACTTCGGTGGCTTGGACATGTTCTCCGAATGTCGTCCCAGAGAATTCCACGTCGTGCATTATTTGCCGACTCTGGGACTGGTTGGAAGAAGCGGAGAGGTGGTCAGTGCATGACATGGTGTCGTGGCATGAAAGAAAGCTGCAAAGGACTGGCTTGTGTCGGTCCTTCACGACTCCCTGGTTGGGGTCCGAGAGATGGTGCTACACAGTGGCTAGAGACGTTATCAGATATGGCTCAGAACAGAAGCCAATGGCGATCCTGCTGTAACCTTCTTTTACTTTCTTCATAAAAAGTGGTTGTCTTCCTTAACTGAAAGATTTCTTCTGATTGTACCTCTTCGTCATTACTCTCCTTTTCTTTTGCGTTCCTTAGTTTTTTTTTTCTTTCTACTTCTCTTCGAATTCCCGTTGTTTTGTGTGGCGCATATATATTGGCGCTCTCTTGTACCAATATTTATGTGTTCAAATAAATAATAATAAATAATAATAAGTATATAATAAGTATCACAGATTGTGAGCAATTGACAAGAACTAAACGAAATAAATATAAATTTATATTATTCTGTTCAAATATTTGTTCACGTTCTCTGCAAGATAGTAAGGGGAACTACGTGTGAAAATAGCCTCAGAAACCAGAAAATCAATATACTCTATTTACCGACTTATGCAGAGAAGATTCACTAGTCATATGACTAGAGGTCAACAAAACAAAACACACAACAGAGAAACAAAAACAAATAAAGTTGATGATGAAAATATCTTCTCATAAAAAAAGACGAGATCAATGTGAACTAAGAGCTGATAGTGATCCTTTATCTCGCAAAATGACAATAAACGCCTTGCAATTTAACCATCCAGTAAAAAACACACAACACAATCAAAAGCCTTTATGTAGATTTTCAAAGCTTTTAAAAGTATTTAAAAATAAGATAAATTCGGTAATGAAAATATACACTTACATTATTTGATGAGACAGATGAAGTGAAAGCCGACAACTTATTATGAGTATTATCTGTTAAACGAGTACGCCTCACTATGGATTCCAATGTTTTTACGTCTTGACAATGTGCCAAATCAATAGGTCTCAATGTGCCGCTAATTAGTGAGTCGAAAAATTGATCACGTAACATTACAGATGACTCAGTAGTAGAAGTCGTATTATTAAGAGTATTGGATTTCTCTGAAATACAAGGATTATCTAAACAATTAAGAAATAAATGTAGTTGACATTTATATGTTGAATAATCTTGTGCCAGTGGTGAAGATCCATCTAATGTTGTAGAATAGTTAGTTAAGTTATTTCTGGCAGAGATTACACCTTCCAATTCTGTAGCTAAAGTTTTCAATCTAGAACGATTAGCTGTGAAAATATGACGTGAGGTTTGTGTTCTGTTTGAAAATAAAAACAAATGAAATAAAACGACGTAAGTGTAATTATGGAAAATAGAGGAATACTAGAAAACAACACATAAAAGATTATAAGTATTGTTACGTGAGGTGTCTGAGATTTGATAGTGAAACTCGAGCTCCTAACACATGAGACCAACTGGCTACTCTAGTGAAAAAAGAAGTGCATAGACTAGCCGTATCGATTGTATGTGCTCCCATTGAGGAAAACATAAATATATGTTTTGGGAAAAGAAACCATCAGTTGTTTGTATCCCATTCCTTAGGAATGAAAGCCATTTCTTGGTTTATCATGTACACTTATCGCTTAACCGCTTTTTGATTAGTCCAATGTGCCAGACGATTAGTGGGACTAAACGTCAGAATGGAAATAGTTCCACGATACTTATTCATGTGATATATTTACCTTAACTATCTGACCAACGATTAAGAACCAGATTTAAATACTAGAAAAAAATGTCTCGGTTTACCTTTTTTCAAGTAGTGCAAATAGAAGACATTGATACTTCTTTCGTATACGCTCAACATTCTCAGGCGTCAAGAGCCGTTGTTTATTGTTTTTATCGTTTGATTCAGATGATATGGACGAAGGTGAACGGGATGGATCATACTCCGATGAGATTTTATTCACATTTGACGATCCTATCAAAAAGATGTAATGTTAAAAAAGTTGACCAATTAGGTTTGAGATAAATATGCTACTGAATAATTAATAAGTAGCTTGATGGCACCAAACACCAAAATAGTGAACAGCTGATGGTTAACTACGAATTATTAACCGGTACAAAACCAACGAAGTTAAATTCATCATACGCAAAAGTGATTCCATATGACATATATACTCACTCAAAAACCCAAACACAAAAATACCACATTTTTTGATCAAGGAACTAATATATTAATACCAGGATAGTTGAAGTTGAAAGCGCTTAGTAAATTATTACTTGAACTAAACCAATAAACCACAGTGATAGTTGGTATATGCTAGCTGTTTCCACAACCTATTAGTACCACACAATCAACCATCATATGAAAGATCCAAGAATATACACAGATTAAGTGTGGTCTTTTTTTATTGACGAGAGTGTGTGAGTGTTCTATGAATGTTGGTTTAAGTCGTAGGTGATGCTCATCATGGATTGAACTCGGTTGAGGTACCACTGAAAATACGGAAGGAATAGACATGTTTCTTTCCAGATTGGAACACTGGATTATCGATAGCGAGTAAACTCGCCGGGCAGGGAATACAATATCTTCAAGTCTTACAGTGAACCAAATGAAAAATTTAGTTATGTAGGAAGCTGAAAAGTTGTTATGACTGTCATTAAATGATGGTAACAGTATACTACGACTTGATTCTAGCTTAAAATGTGTACGAGTGGGTTGGCACTCAGTAATCTAGTGATCAAGAAGAGGTCATGAGTTTTGAATGTCCTGAGTTCGATTATTGCCCGAGTCGTAAATGCGAACGGCCGAATACTATGCCAGTACGGAATTAAAATTATATTGCACTATCTCTTTCTTCTACTTCATTGATTAATTATAGATTAACTGTCTTTGTATTGGTTGATAAATTTTTTATTAGCTCAGTCATATTGAACTGGTCATTATTGCACTTGTATACGAAGAATTAATTGGTGTTCCCGAGGTTAACAATTTGAATGTGAGTTTTTTTTCATTTTGACTTTGATTGACTTGAGGGGCATGTGAATCATGTAAATATAACAGAAATATGAAGTGAATGATAACTAAACAAGAATAAATCACTAAATTTAAAGCACAATTTTAATTTCACCAGTATGGTAATCGGTATTGTATCGAAGAAGGGATAATTGTATATTTGCAGATATTATTGTCATTGAATAAATATTCAGTATTTAAGAATAATTTACCTTCATTTTGTCCAGAACATTTATTCGATTGATTCAAAGATGAAGTCTTTTGAAATCGATCATTTTTCTGACGACTGTAAACAACCTGTTAGCGTAAAAATAAAATAAAAAAAGAATATGAAATTGATGTTGCTTTTAATAAATTAAATTCAAGCAATCTGATGTAATAAATACTATAAGAATGAACAGAAGTAGATTTAGTACAAGAAGTTTTTCAGCATTAATCAAACATATGAACATACAATGATTTGTGTACTAGACAATGAACTATTTATCATTTAATATAAGGATGAACTGATTTTAATCACCTGACCTGATTAGGTATCACAATTTAACAAGTAGATTTCAGGCGCCAACAAATCAGTTCAATCTACTACCAGTTAGGGAATTGAAAGGATGTCAGCATTATCAGCTTTCATAAAATAAAAAATCAATCATATGAATAGTGGTAGAGATAGTGAATGAGGATCACGTTAAAAATAAGAACCAATAAATCTCCATCCAGTGAATGGATAGTATCGTGCTTAATATCCTACTTTAGAAATTCAGATACCAGCTCATGTGATACGAAGGGTGAGAAATTTTAAGGAAACACAGACTAAGAGGAAACAACTCTTCAGTGCGTTTTGGTTTCTAAGAAATTCTCAAATGGTGTCAGTTGGTCATAAAATCCATCTTCAAATTAAACGAGAACTCCATAGAACTGAAATAATTGTGAAAACAAATTGGTCATAGGCAATGGAATAAGTACAGTAGAGTAGTAAAAGATCTTGGTATTTGTCTCTTCTTACGCGTACATAATAATTTTGACATTAAAAGACAGACTGAATATAATAAACATTTCTCCAAAATCTAATCGTATTCCGTAGATTAAGTAGACGGATTAAAAGTATGTTATGTTATAAACAGTAAAACATACTTGAAACGTGGGATGGGCAGACAAAAAATCAATCAAAGAATCACTAGTTGGTGCTCTAGTACCATTTAGAACTGTTCCACTCCTACGATCTAAGACAACGAGTGTTTTACGACCATCTAAACGATAATGATGACCCTTAAAAACAAAACAAAAGCAAAGTACAATAAACTTTTATTACTGGGTAAATGATCAAAATGTTAGTATACTACACTCATAAAACAAAACAAATAAAGTAATACAGAACTTCGTAAAATTCTGTATCCCTTCAAATTGCTAGATTTTTCAGTCGTATTACAAAACGAAAGTCAGTACTAAGAAAGAATGTACCATAAGAACCACATGTTTGAACGGATTAACGCTAGAAGTAGAACAATCTGCTCAAGATTTTCAAAGAATAGATGCTTATAAGCAAATGGAATAAATTGTTTTCAGATATTAAATGCATTTTTCTACTTATAGTCTTCAGCCGTAAAGAGCAACAAATTCCCAGGAAACTATTTATTTTTTAAATTCGCCACGGCGTTAACTATCCTTCGATTTTTACTGTAGATTAAAGACATTATTTGGGTATTTATTGTGCATTTTGTAGTCTAATATTTCATCCCATTCGCAAGATCTTTGTAAATACAAGTAAACACATGCTATTTCCGTAAAGACATATTCGATATTTATCTTCCGAACAAGATTTGCTTTTTTTGGATGTCACGCCTGGAAAAATAGAAGGCAGCTTGTAGTCTTCACGAGATTCAAATCGAGGTTAGGTGTTTGTACAACGTAGTTCAAGGGAAAGATCACAAAGCTACAACATTATCATCCAACACCACAAACGATAAGAAAATGTGGTTAATTATAAAACAGCTTTTTACTGCTCCAATAAGTCCCAATCCTTTACATATCACACTTGCGTGAAAATAGAATAATAATAAATAACCAGAGGGCAGAGTAGCCGTCACCAGTAAAGAAAAAGGAAAGAAAACTACTGTGACAGACAGTTTATTGAGACGAGGGATTCCGGCGAGAAAACGTGAGAATTCGAGTTATGATATGTGATAAAGGGAGTAAAATATGATTGGTCGTTGAGTGTAGACAAACAGTCACAGTTTACGGACCGTTCAATATGTAGTTTCCATTCCTGTCACTGACTTCAACTCTGGACCAAATGAGTGTGACAACCTGTAATTGCAATGATTAAAGTATTATCTAGTGTTAATCTGGTTCTCTATTTCGGGTCGTGAATCCTAGATCTGATATAACGCGACTAGTCTTATTAAAGTATTATCGTAATATACGTAACAGCGAGGAAAAATATTTTAAACATCCGTTATATCGAATCGTAAAACCATTTGTTATGTGAAAAAAACGCGATTCTTATTCATCTCGAACAAATAAATACATGAAAACTAACTAACCGATTTATTTAGAGGATCTGTTGAGTCATATTTTCTGCAAACTGTTTGAAGTACATCCAATCCGTAAGCTTTCAAACACCTGTTACTACAATAAACACTAACCTGTAAAACATAATGATGAAATGGAATTTAGAGTACTAAAGTTCGCAAAATAACATAGCAATAACAGAAATCTGAATAACACTTGAAAGTATTCAAACGATAGATGATTAGACGTAGCTAGCAGGAAACGCTGCTCGACCGATGTTTCGTACTAGTTAACACTCGTTACCAAGGCATAAATGAAATCTTAGGGAAACTACTGCTCCATGGTGTATTTGAACTCATCTCATCCAACTTCACAGTCTGAGATATTAGTATTGAGCTATTCAGACAGAAACTGATCTACTCACTGTTGCTTAATCACTGAGTAATAGTCGGTTTCGTGTTCGTATAATGTTTATACCTGATCAGATTTTACCGATCACGTTGCAATATGGTTGACTAGCCTGAGTGACTAAATAGTGTGCAATATGTTTTAATGTTAAGCAGTTGTATGTAATTGGCTGTACACACTGGATCTAGGTCTTGGTCCACTGAATTCGATCAGCAGTAAAGAAAAATAAAAATATGGCACTAGCCACTGATCGGTGAATAATCAATTTGAGTATGCATATACTATTGTCAGCCAGTTAGTTGCAACGTAGAACCATGTACATATGTACATTGGTTCAAGTCGCCACAAATTAGGGTAGGAGAAATGAAATTTTCAAGATGAACCCTAGAGTAGTAGAGATAGCACAGTGTTACTGGTAATATAAAAGATCAGGGATCGAAGATACGATTCAAGAAAATACAAATTAGTGTGATAAAGATGTCATCGGTAATCCAAAAGATTAGATATCAGGTGGGGGGGGAAGGCAAAGAATGGATACACCTATTTTCTCCTCTTTTGTGGATTTCAGTTATGGAGGAAGATTTGGCAATTAGTTTAGAAATACGAGTTAATATATGTTTATTGTAGCTCTACTACTGATACATTTAATTGCACGTAGTTGCATACGTTGTGAATGGGTGGCTTAGTGATCAAGACGTTTGACTTTAAACCACTAAGTTATATGTTCGAATCCTGAACTTATGGATAAAGCTGTTTTATTATTGATACACAAGGATAAACAGGTTGTTTAATTAGGATCTCCTGGCCAACACTGAAAGGTAATCCAACTTGACATAAATTATGTTGGGTCTGGACAACCTAGGATCCAATACCTTACTTAGAATCGGAAGTTCGCAGACCTAGTTGAATGAATAAAAAAGATTGACATCTTGAAAAACATTAAACCAATAGTTTATTGAGAAATTTGTTTCAGATCGTAAATCTTATAGATACTGTGAAAAATACAGATAGTGACACTAACTAGATGCTTTAACTGTGAAACCTGGGTCACAGACTAATTGAATATTGCGAATTGAGCACCAAAACAACTGAAACACAGTCGTAGATAAATGGAAAGAACTTATTGTATGATCTCCTCTTAACAGTTTTAATATTTAAATTATTTTATTGTGAAACATTTAAGAAATAATACAAGGTCGTCACATCCCGGCATCACCATAGTATATAACTGTGCTATGCATTAATGTATTAATTTTAGCATCAAATTATGTGTTAACACCAGTATATGTTGGAGAAGGCAAGTAACTTCAGCTCAAGAGTTTTAAACTGCACAAAACACCTGTATTGTATATCACATATTTTGAAAAACACTAAAATATTACCGCAATGTATACTCAACGGCAATCACCTTGAAAAGAGACATTGTATTACTACAGGATATTGTGAAGATTACTGAATTTGAAATTTCACATCACGGAGTGATCTCGATTAGGCAATCTAAACCAAGAAGCACTAAATAGCTATTTCGCCGTAGTGTGAATCTACACAACAGTATGTACCCACAACCTCACTAGGGACCGAAGCCGAACCCTTAACTCGTATAATAAGAATTTATCATTCAAGTTGGACTGCCATTCAATGTTGTACATTTCCAACTCCAGACCAATATATTCAGCGTTTTATTTGTTTTCAATGGTTATCTAATCAGGGTCATTCAGCACTGTAAGAGAATAAGCGTCAGTCAGACAATTCAAATTGAAGCGTTGAATTATATACATCAACATAGAAAATAACAAATCCTAATCAATTAAAGATTGAATATTATTAGTCTATGTATGAAAAAAGACTATATAGGTCACAATAACAACTTACTTGAGGATTAATAGTTTTATCACAATTCGGTCCTAAACATGAATTTGTGGAATTCACTTGTTCTTTTATTTCATTTTTTAAAATAATTCGTGGTCGTTTCTTTCGACGTGATAGGACTTTTGTTAAATTAACAGATTGTAAACTATTTGTGTTGTTAACAACACACGAATTGTTTACGCTATAAGTATAAACGAACATGTTTTTTATGTTATTAGTAAGGAGAAAACAAAACAGTGCTGTAATATGTAATATCTGGAAAAAAGTGTGCATAGGCTCAAGTTACCACAACATCATATCAGTAAGCTTAGGTGAAATTCGTACCAGACTAAATTGTTGTGACATACGCTTACGAGTTTAAGACATTTTCATTCAGTAACTGTTTCAAAAAGGGAAAGTGGGAGGATGAAATCAAATTTTGACTGGAACGGGAATAATTGTAAAAGAGATACACCAACGCTCAAGGCAAAAGAACCCCCTATATTGTTATAACGAACCAAGATCTATGAATGGTAAGCAACAATATATATATAGCCAGATTACACAAATTATTGATTGGTAATAATCAACAACTTAGTCCTTGGTAGTAATCGAATATTACCTATTGAAATTTGGTCTGTTGGCTTAAGTGTTTTTGTTCTGTTACAACCATATTGATTGAGGGTTTCATCAGGAGCAAGAACATGACTTTTAGTGGAGCGATGGCATGATGACTAAAAATTTAACTATCAGAAAGTAGGCTGCAGATCTGAATCCAGCCTCATCTACTTCACTTTAGACAGTCAGATAGTACAACCAGCTCTCACATTTTGAAGCTCAGATTGATGTACATGAATCGGTATCTGGTAAATGGGTACTCATCATCTACTGAAAAGTAACGTGTGATTGCTGAGTAAGTTGTTTACCATTTTAAGAGTTTACAACATAAATAAGCGATAATAATCAAATAAAACCAACAAATCAATAATCAACTTACGAAGATAATTTATTTTCATTAGTGACCACAGATGATGGAGTTTCTTCTACACTAGTTAAAGTTGAAAATGATTCAGAAACTGAACTATCATCTTCTGAAGGACATTTCATAGCTATATCTGTCTCTGGTAAAATAGTAGCTATTCGATCACGTTCTTTTTCAGCTTCTTCAGTTAAACGTAATCTTAAACTATTTACTATGGTTGCTGTCAATAGATTGGTGGGCGATACAGATGTATCAATGATTGGAGCAAATTGTGTCGACATAAATTCATTACCATTATCAGAACCAGGAAATGTTTGTAGCTGTGATTATTGTATGTGAAAAAAATGAAATGAAACAGGAATAAATTAAGTTAGATCATCATTTTATATATAATTTGTGCTAGCATGATAAAGTGCTGATTTTTACATGCTTCCAGTTGGGACCGATTTAGAACACCCTCATTGGTTCATTCTCAACTAATCAGTACTAGTGGACAAGTAAAGATTTTAGAACATTTTTATGTAAATTCCATGTGAACTCTTATACTTTTGGCACTGTCTCTTAATTGTTCGGATTTATTCCGATATTTTTGCATGCTCTTAATTCTTATTTGGATAAGTCCGAGTTATATATCGTACGTGGCCACGAAAACACTAGACTATAGAAGACCATAACGATTTAATTTAAAAAATACTTATGTACATAGACAAACAACATGGAATAGAAATGTCACTGAAATTTGTTAACTTACATTATCAACTTGATCATTTTTGCTTGTGTAAGCACCCATTAATTTACATGAATCACAGACAAATTCAATTTCATTTTTTTCCATACATTTACCTTCTTCTGGTTTAATCCCAACACAATCACCATGATACCATTCATCGCATAGATCACAACATATCATGAATCTAGGATCGGAAGATTGTTTTAGAAAACAAACATACATACCATATATTGTTAAACATTTTGACACTAAGATCTGAAGCAACATGAAGGCTTATGAAAGACGAAATAAGTTTTAGATATTTATCTGAGAGTTTAGTTGAACTAAGAAAGAAAGTGTGAAACAATTGTATCAATCATAATGGATTGATCACTTATGAAATACAAAACGTCTATTACATGGAATCTAGATTATTACATCATGTTACACAAAATAATGTCCATTTTGTAAACGGGAAAACTACACTCTTTGGTGTTCAACACTATATTAGTAGTCGAGATAAACACAAAAGCTCATAGTCTATTGGAATTTACATCGACTTATTACAGATAACAACTATAAATATGTCGTTAACAGCCTTCTTGTGGTGGGGGTGTTGTTTACGAAATCGAGAGGACGAAAAGCGAACGTCCGGCGCGTTAATAGGGTTGGTAGACACTGAAAGTTCACCTAGGGGAGTGGGAAAACCCTCATTCCAAACCAGTGGTGCACATGGGCTCCAGTATCCTGAGGGAACAAATGGCGTATGAACCGATTGTTGGTCACCGGCTACCATGGGACTGCGTCTATTCACGATGCTCCGTTGCCTTGTGGATCGAACTTTTAGGTCGAAGGTTCCGAGTGTGGCCTCCTAAGAAAACTACCTGCTTCGGTTTGGACACCTGAGCAGTATCCCAACCCTCACACAAATCGAGTGATTTATGTGGCGCATATCTATTTGGTGCATCCTTGTACCAATGTTTATGTGTTTAAATGGATAAATAAATAATAAAGTGATTTGCTAGAGTTAAATCATTTGTTCTCTTCTCTCAACCTTTACAATTATATTTAATATAAGTACAGTAATAGTAAGTATAATGCATTAGAAATTTCCGAATCTACTTCCAGTAGTCATATTACTGCTAAGATCCCACGTAACCTAGTTTCATGAATAAATGTTGGTTGTTTCTTGTAACGATAACTACAAGCTGAATTTTATTAATTCATATTTCTGCATAAACACCGTTATCTTCCGAATGATTCTTCTCACTTTCAAATTTTTCTGTTTCCCAGTGATATTTTATTATCATATAAATAGAACTGTGTTATTTTAATTTTTCTGCTTGGATATTATTGATTGTGAGACTCTGGAAGAGGCCGAAACCTTCACGTAACTGGGTAGCATTATCGATGAGCAAGGAGGATCCGATGCAGACGTAAAGGCAAGGATTGTGAAAGCAAAGGCATCATTCCTACAGATGAAGAACATATGGAACTCAAAACAATTGTCAACCAATATCAAAATCAGAATCTTCAATACGAACGTCAAAATAGTTATACTGAAGGGAGGTGAAACTTGGACAGCTGCTACAACCATCATCAAAGAAGTACAGGTATTCGTAAACAATTGTCTACGCAAGATACTGAATGACCGGATACTATCAGTAACAACCTACTACGACAGAGAAAAAATAAGCTTCCAACTGAAAAGGAAATTAGGGGAAGACGAAGTGGATAGGATATACTTTGCAGAAATCATCCGATATTACGAGGCAAGCCCTAACCGGGAATCCTGAAGGGAAGAGGAAAAGAAGAAGACCAAGTGCTACAATTCATCGGGAGTTGAAGGCAGACATCAAAAGAATAAAAAAGAACTGGAAAGGATTGCCCAGGACAGAGTTCGATGGAGAATGCTGAATGATAACAAGAGTAAGTAAGTAAGCTTCAATATTAAGTCATCATGCACTTCGGTATTTTTTCCATGTTGTGGATTATTCTTGAAGTGTAATATGGTTAGTCATTATTTTCCCGAGTTCATTATACAGCATGAACAATGAGTACGCTTGGATTATTTAGAACACTGAGTTCCAACTACATCCAGTGTTGCCAGTATATTACTTACCTTTCATCATGAGGTTGTCGACATATACACCATAATCTTTCAGGGTCATTTTCTTCAGAATCTGAAGAACAATTACTTAAATCTTGTGACTGTTTAGAATGACGAGATTTTGTACGTTTTTTGCGAGCAGAATTGTTTATTTTCACACGTGGAGATGGTTTTTTGATTTGTTTTGTGAGACCACCTAAATTAGTAAGATAAGTGTGCATGAAAAGTAGAAATGTTTTTACCTTTTCTGATAAATCAATATAAAGCAAACAAGAACCAGCAACTACAAAGTTTGTGTGAAAAATTCAATAATAGAACTGTGTATTACAAACGTTCTAGATATGAGTAACTGGAATTTATTACTTTTCTTATATCCCATTTAGCCAAACTAACTATCGGTGAATCAAATGCCTTTTCACTGGTTGATATATATCCTATTTACTCAACCACATTGAACAGATCATTTTTGTACCTACGAACGTTGAAATTGACTGCTAAGTTGAGTTCATTACCTTAAATGTGAGTTTTAATTTAACCTATGATTATCTATTGTGGAATCACTTAGTGATTACATATTTTTTATGTATAAATATTCCCGAGAATCCAAGATAATCTTCTAAATCTCATCTACCTCAGATGCGTTACCCTAGCAAATCTAATGAAACTCGTTACAAAAAAGGACTTATTATCAAATTATTTGTAACTTGTTCAAGATACAACTACCACGAACGACGACCGAATACATTATAAAGCTGTAAAATTTATCCTAACTGTTGTCTTGAACTAATTGTGATAGCTGGAAAAATGTCGACTGAGGAATGGAACTGGATATAAAAGCATTCATACCGCACTAAAAAGACAGGACAGTGATTTAAGTAAAATAGCTTGTGACAAAACGTTTTTACTAAAGACTGTCATATTCTTCAAATTACACCGATACCAAAAACTGTCGTAATCATACCTCTGGTTCATTTATGAAATATCAATCAATAAGACATTTCGCACATCTCATTTATTCATAATTTTTACTCGAATACGTTCTTTATGCAATACATCATGAGAGATACACGATATTTGTCCATGTCAATTAGTGATGAACAATGTAGTATCTGACACAAATGTTGGTCCAATTTGTTACATTTTTGTTTTAAACTGTCAGAATGACAGGAAAGTAATAATATCGGGAGTAAAAGAGTCAAGACGAAATATAAATAATAATAATAGAAAGCCAAATAGAGGAAATCGGATTCAAAAAGAAGGAATGAAAACAACCGAAACACTGACCCATTTTAAGCCATATCATACAACATTATTAGCTATAAACTAATATAATCCTAAAGACAACAAATTTGGAATGGCTGGTCTGTGTTCTGTAAAAACAAATGTAATGCTATTACAAACACATATATACTGATTAATCATGTTGTACAATGATTCCATCAACTACTTTGACTAAAATATACAGATTACTATCTAAAGAAGACATAGAAATGTTTTTTAGGTATTACACGATGTGTAGCTGGTGTTTATTGTGAAACAGCTGAAGAATCACTAATAGAGCTTCAACGACATGCAGCTCTAATGCATGTATTGACTTTGATGACCTGAAAATTTTGGAAGATAGGAATCGACAGATGCAATGATTGTAATAAATTAATTTAAGGTGAATAATCCTTCAAAATATAGTGTCTTTTGACATGGTTCACTTTATTGTTTGAGTATAAAGCAAAGTATCTAAGAAACAAAACAGACGATAAGGTTTGTAGTTCATAAAAGTGTCTCTCTTATACTCAATAGCCTACATTCAAAATAAGTTTATACTTTATTACATCCAGATTGTAGTTGAAAACATTTCTTGAATTATTCAAATGAAACGTTGTCAGTATCTTAACAATCTGGAAGAAGTACTTGCCTAAAACATTTGTATGACTAACTGACGACAAATAACAACCATACAACGAAACTTCTAGTGAACTTTTAAGCGGTTCAAAACTGTGCTCTTAGAAGAAAATGACTCACCGGGAATTTTAGTTCTCAAACAATATTCTGAAACACCTTCTTCTTCACTTTCACAGCACGATTTTTTATTCTTTTGTTTAGCTTCAATACGAGCTGACTGTCTATAAAGATAAAGCTATAGGTTTACTATTTCATAACTTTCTATGTGTGTAATTATAAATAAAAACATAATCAGTACTATCAATAAATTTCGCATTCAACGATTCCAAAACCCTTTTTCGTAATATGTCGACTTTATGACGTATGGGTAAGATTATAATTAAGCACAAGTTTTGATATGAGCAACAATAGGTAAACGGAAACTATAAAATTATCTTCAGTGGTATAGATTAATCCTTTTTGTATAACTTGTACACAAAATATATGAGTACGAGGATAGGAAGGGCAACCATAATGGAGGTATCTGAACTTACATAGCAAAAAGGTTTCGTTGTTTTGGTGTTGTGAAAAATGTTCTGACCCTTCTAAAATGTGATTTACACAAAGTGTTAACGTATTTTAAAAAGAGTGCTGTCATCGTAACTTTAATGATCTTCCCGTTTTGAAAAAATTAGATTTGTGTACGTTGTTTTACCGAGCATACTGTAAAACATTTAAAAGCAATCATTTCAAATAAATTATCACATCACAAGCCGATAAATGTTAAATTCAATTGTGGGTTGCCGTGATATTTTCAGGTGGATAGAAAAGTTTTAAAGCGAAAACCTGTTATTTTAATCAAAAACATATGACAAACAAATAAAATATATTCATGAACAGAGCGATAACGAAACAAAACTTAACCGATAGCTGAAGTCTTAAGTTTAATAGCTATTTAGTAACCTACGTATATCATCGGATAGCGACAAAACGTACATTTTGCAACTTATGAACATATTAAATTTGTCTTGTGCTTTGTCACACATTTTTCCTGATTACAAAAAGATTGCAACTGTGGGTTTTTATTATTTATTTATTTACTTCGAAGCATACAATAAGTTATGAAACTTCAGACAGTGTAATTTCTGCTCATTGGGATATCAAACGTATGTTATTTTATGACGAACTGTAGTTGTGTAATCGATCGTTGAATCATTACAAACGCAGTAAAGAAGTGAGAATTATGTCAAATTACAATACGTTTAACGGTGTAAGGAACTATTGGTCGGCCATTTTACATTAATAAATGATAATTGTTTTCAAGAATAGAAATGCTTTTATCTGTAATATTTGTAATGACGGATATGATTGGATAATTACTTGTAAGTTCCAGAAGCAATTGCATAGTCATTAACATACAGAACACACTGCAGTAGTAGTAAGGTATTCAGCTAACTAGCAGTCCACACAAAGTTGAAGCAATCAATGGCTATATAAGTAGAATTTTGCCAGATTTCATTTTTTTTAAATAACTGGTACCATTTACGTATGGAAACGGAATAAGTGGCAAAAATCAGCACAAGATACTCCATTGTGTCGAAACTATATCACGGTGTATAACATTTCAGCAACGACCATACACATGCATTAAAAACAAACCAAAATCATATTGGTGCTGGTTTAACCATCGATTGTTTAAAGGCGTAAATGTTTAAATTCAGAATAGCAAAACTGTTAGACAAAAACAGCCTGAAGGATTACAACACATGAAAAAGTGTAAACAACACAGCTATCATGGAAATATGGTAATAAATGCTTTACTCAGTAAAATCAACTACGCGTGGAATTTCGTTAGCAACTGAATCTTGCTCCGAAAAGACACTTCATGCACTTGACTTTTAGAAACTTGTGCGAGAACCCATAAAACCAACCGAATACCCAGTTACCGACATGGGGGTTGAGTCCGAACCTAAAATACGGAAACCTGTCGTTTTCACCACTACAGAGTGCTTCTAGAAACGCACGCTAAACATGAAGCTTATTATTATTATTATCAAAAACCAGAGTACAACTTTTAAGAAGTCGACCTCCGAAATACAAAGCGGAGCCTCAAGTGACAGAATGGCTTCACTACTAACTTATCGAGCACACCAAGCTATAATTTGAAACATAATATACCGCACTAGGAGAAATAAATTAGGGTTTTAGTAAGTCATGCACCATATTTCGTCAAGGGATAATAGCAGCACCCTACAGTTTAAAGGCAGTGAGTTTAACTGCGCTACCACAAATGATTCGTTATTCATGAGACCCAATAAAAATATACACAGAAGCGCAAAGAATAAAACAAAACTGTGTCATTAAAGGATTAGTTACCTTCTTTGGGTAAGGGTTGTATCGTTTTGATTACAGTCCGGAGAACGAGCAGTTGATACAGTGTGTAAAGACTGATCATAAGTTAATAGACAGTAAAGATTATGAGTTTTACCTGTTGGCAGCATTGTTTATCTGCCGATCGACAAGAAAAATTGTTTATTCTACAAGCCTCATTTTGAAATGAACCGTCATTAATGCGATTATACCCAGGAGTTAAATCTTCTATTACTAAACAAATAATCACAGGAGGCATGCTTACTGAATAACTGTGTCGAGGGGTCGTTAGCATCATCAACAAAACTCATTCCTTTAACATCTGAATATTATTCACTAAACAATGATAGCATTGAGGTGACGAAAACGTTTGAATTGCGTCGGATTCAATAAACAAGAAATTTATTTGTAGCCTGGATAAACAGATGGATTTATTTGGCCTCTTTTCTTGTTGTTTCTGTACAGCCAAAGGATAAAAATGATGCCGATTAGTTGACCACACGAGTTTTAGTCAGTTTGACAGTGATTTTTTTATATATTTTGTGATGCTATTGTCGCAGATCACTATGGATTCCGGACACCAGGATCTATTACATTATGAGTCAGGAGGTTGGTTTGTGGCATCGAAAATAGCAGTGGAGTGAAAATTCAAGTATTAAGAGGAGACGACTGCTTTAAAAAGTAAATAAATCATATAACTGATTATCTAAATATTTTGAGTTGACCAAATGTGAGATTGACAGGTATCAGGCATGATTAGAGGAGAGACATGAGTAAACTGACAACTTGTGTTATTGATAATGGTAGATAAGCTGCGAGACATGCGTCCGGTACAGCTAGCATAACCGGGAGATGATAATCTGTAGATGTGTACGTGTTTATCAAGTCTCCTCTTGAATATACCCACTAAGGAGGCTGTGATCATTTAAGCTGATTGAGAACACAACTTTGGTTTGTCAATGTTGAAATTTAAAATGGTTGCTTGAGTAGCATGATGGTGATGTCCAGGTTGAGGATTGTACCAAAGTGACTCAATGTTGTGGATCACCTTTTATTCCTTCATATCCCAGTGTGATTTTACCCATGTACTCCCTCGAGTGATTGAAAGCCGTCCATTCCCTAACCTTGAACAGCACAGGAAACAGTGTGCCTTGTTACGTTTCTATCTCTGAAGATTGGAAAACGAGTAGTCTACTTTGTCACACCATACTGACTTTTCTGTAGCAGGAATTTCAGTTCCTTTAATATTTTCCCGGGAGTTAGATGGATGTTCTTTGGAACATTAGTGCAAGAGCATTCAGCGACAGTAAACTCCTAGGTCAATTTTATGTCAAGACACTGAAAGCTTCTATCATTTCTAAGCTGATAGTATCTTTGTCGCTAAGCTCTTAAGCCGCAGGGGCCCACAGTCTTGTAGGGTTCTTTTTAGGCACGAAACCATAGAATTATTTCCGAGTTGTTTATGCTTTGGCAGCTAGCTACATCTACAAACATCCCTCATAAGCGTAATAATCGTTCATTCTTTGGTCGGATATCCTTATTCATCCTGACCTCTCATCACAAACAGTAAATTTCAAGTACAACGTCTGCCGCAATTAGACCCATAATTGTGAAAGCTTTGGGATCGCAGATGAAATTACTGTGCGATTAAATGTAATTATTGTTATCAGAAGGAATTTTTCGTGGATGATATGGTGATTTAATAGTTGAGTTCATAACAACATAGAAAACCTGGAAGAATGGATGGCCGTTTCGTCCTTTTGTGAGACTCCTCAACTGGTAAATACTTCTCACTAGAACTCCAGAAAATACCTCTTGAAGTCAGTCACTAGTGAGCAAATGATGACTAGTGGCAGAAGCGGATTTTGTGGATATTACAGTAAATTGATAGTTGGGTTCATGAGTCAATCATTGTTATTAAAACTTCTGTTACATTCACAACGGTATGTCCTTCCAATGAAGTTCTTGGTACTCTTGACACTGGAAGAACATCAGGTAGACTCCGGCAACTCGGCCGACATGGTATTTGATGGTATTATAACCTTTGGGTGGTCACTGATATATTTTAGATCCCGTATCACATCTGGATAGTATGCTACTTTGACATTCACTTCCTTGTCTGTGGCGTCAGGAGGAGCTAGATTTAAATTGTAACTGAAGAATGCCACAGGTATTTGGAGTTCGACAACGCTTCGATCGGTAACACCTTCCAATACGAATCGTACCCACCAAGTGAAATCAAAAGACAGGAGTGAGGGGTTCGAAGATATATTTGGTAGGCTATCAATATATCGAGGATCGTCTAATCTAATCTGGCTAGTGATTACAGGGGATGTTGAGCACGGCGTTCGCACTCGTGATCTGGTGCGAATGCATGACCAAGCGCTTTCAACTAGATGAGTCCATTAAGACTAATATGGTCAGTACCCAGCGTCGAAGACTTACAGAGCTATTGATTTTGAGGATCTATTCACCGTTACAGAAGGATTACCATCAGTTAAGGATGAAACCACATGTTTCTTATCTCTCATAATTCCTTCCCAACTCCCTCTACACCGCTGTGTAGGTAACTAGGTATTTGTTACTTACACGTGATTCATCTATGTCAGTAGCTAATTGCGATGTTGTGAACGATTTGTGGGGTGGAGGGATTTATCTATTTCTGTGAGAATTGAGTGACAAGAGCATTTTCCCCGTGTTGTTGTGACTCTGTTAGCGTTTTCCTCTGTTATAGGATTATGATTGGGGTCAAGTGGAACCGAAACGCACTTTGGTTACTCTGCTATTGTTCTGCCGATCTAGGTCTTCTGTTGAAGCATTGGACATGATTGTGGGAGGCATTTTTCACCTGATGTTAAGCCTGAAGGAGATCGATTTTATCCCCTGAATTTCTCAAGTTTACGGCTACCAAATGGGATGGATTAACTGTTGTGAGGTGAAACAGGCTGAGAATTTGGGACACACTTGTCTCTGTAGTTGTGCGCACACCTAGGCTACGTGATAATCATCGCCACTGGTAAATGTGAGACACGTAAGCTTCTTCCATACTATCAAACGCTGGCTCGTTGATGGTCACTTATGACCCCTGACACTATTGATCGTATCTTACTTAGATGCTCGGTTACTGCTTACTTCTGATCTGTCTAACACTAAAGGAGTTTCCTCAGTCATATATGTCGAATGTATGGCCACTCATAGTGGAGGTTTGTACATCTTGTCGTAGCGTTGGTTCAGTTCAACTGACACGGGTTCGTTCAGACAACTCATGTAGGGTCAGTGAAATGTCACCAGGCAAATCATTCGGTAGTCAGGTCACTAAATGTTTAACAGTCGTGGTGTTTGAATGAACCAATGATACCTTTGTACTTGTTGAATACTTGATTTTGAATTAGAAATACAATACATTCGTTTGTGCTTGTGTCTCACTACTTAATTCAGTTGCGTTATTTCTGGGACTTTTAGTTCATACTACAATTCAAATAATTGAAATATTACATTGGCGTCGCGATGGAGCCTGCAATGGGAAAGTTAGATATTCATTCAACTCCTGAAGCTTTTGAGGATTACTTGGAAAGGTTCGAAATCTAGAGAACGACCAAGAAAGGTGTTAAAGGTGATAAAATTTTGGCACATTTTATGACATTCATTGGGAGAGAAGCGTACAGGTTATTAAAAACTTTGGCGTATCCAGAAAAAGCTATCTCACTCCCTTATGCAACTCTTAAAGAGCTATTATTAAGTCATGTAAAATGCACCAGTTTTGAATGCCGTGAAAGGGCGAAGTTTCATAAGATGGTTCGTCGAAATGACCAAAAGTTTCGGGAATTCATCCTTGAATTACAGAAACACGCTGCCAAGTGTAATTTCGGTGATCAACTTCATGTGCAACTGAGAGATCGATTAGTTGCAGGAATTAACATACCGAGTTTGGAAAGAGAGCTGTTAAAAATGCCAAACTGTTCCTTTCAAGATGCTAGAACTGCGTGTATTAACTACGAAGCAGTCAATTAACTTGATATCCAGTCGATGAAGATGTCTAATACTTTGCTTAGTCGTCATGATGAACTACAATCTCAGGGTCAATCAAACTTGTGTTCTTTTAACAGTGATTCATATTCTCGTGTAAATATGAAAGGTGTTTCAACAAGGAATTACAAAGCAAACCATAAAGGTGAAATAAAGCTTGGTAAACGTTTATCATGTGGAAAGTCTCATTCTCGCAATTCATGTGCATTTCGTAATGCTAAGTGTTTTAAATGTGGTAAGGTAGGACACATTCAGTCAGTATGCAAAGCTACTGTCCATTTTGCTTCAAGTAGTATTAAATCTTGTAATTTAAATTTCAATAATACGGATGTTCCTAGTGATCATTTATCTTTGTCTACTATTTCGAAAGGTAATGTTCATATTCAAAAACGACTATATACATCGCTTGGTTCGTTTCATGACATTATTCTGGACACAGGTAGTATGGAGTCCATTATTTCATTCAAGAACTTGAAATCGTTAGATCCTAATGTTGTTGTACGACCCACTGAAGTATCAATATTGGGGATTACTGGACAAAGACTGCCCATACGAGGATGTTGTGAATTGCTAATAAGAGATGATAATGGCGAGACTCTAATTTCGCGATGACCTTTGAACGAATCTTAAATGACCTTGACAATTATTAGCTAATCAGAAGACAGTTAGTATGAAGTGAGAATATATTGTAAGTAATGAATTACAGTGGATATTCTTCTTTTACATGATTTAAAAACTTGTTAAGGTTTGATGAAGGTTCAGAGGCTCTCAATTCATAATGCATATTGTATAGAAACTCGTCCATAGGGTTAGTGGTTAGGGTTGTAGCCTGTCAATAGACATCTCTTCTCTAAAATCCGATGTAAACCGATCGCATGTTAGCACCCTAACCCTAACCTTAACCTAACCCTAACTTCAACCTAACCCTAATCTAACCCTAACCCAAACCTTAACCTAACCCTAAACCCTAACCTTAACCCTAATCTAACCCTAAACCCTAACCTTAACCCTAAACCCTAATCTAACCCTAACCTTAACCTAACCCTAAACCCTAATCTAACCCTAACCTAACCCTGAACCCTAATCTAACCCTAACCCTAAACCCTAATCTAACCCTAAACCTTAACCTTAGCCCTAAACCCTAATCTAACCCTAACCTTAACCTAACCCTTAACCCTAACCTTAACCCCAAACGCTAACCCTATGGACGAGTTTCTATACAATATGCATTATGAATTCAGAACTTCTGAGCCTTTATCAAACCTCAACAAGTTTTTAAATCATGTAAAAAAAGAATATCCACTGTAATTCATTACTTTCTTGTAATATATTTTTACTTTATACTGTCTTCTGA